TTAAAAACAAAACAAAACAAAACCAAACCAAAAATCCCAAAAAACCTCTGTGGACCTTCCACTGTCACCCTCACTGTCCCTAGAGGGGGAAGGGGTGCTTAGAGTCTAGTTTTTAACAATTTTTTTTTTTTTCTCTCCTAACGTTTTCTTCAGGGTTGTTTAAATTTTTTTTTTTTTCAAAGAAAAAACAAAAACAAAACAAAAACAAAAAAACCCCAAAAAACAAAAACCCTTCCCCCCCAATCTGTAAAGTGCCTCGTGGTGGGTGAATTAAGGTGCATCGTGTGGTTTGTAACAAGTGCTGGGGACCCTGCCCCTGCTTCCTCCTATGCTCCTTGTGGGGAGCCTGCAGGCTGAGGACCCAAGGGTCCAAGCCGCTGCTGCCGCCCCTGGCTTACAGCCCAGGGGCTGGTGGGACGGGCTGGTCAGTAGTCATCCACGCTCTCGATCTCACCAGAAGGTCCGTGCAGGGAGTAGCCTGAAGCCGGGGAGAAGCTGGGTTTGAGCTCTCCCCAGGCTCCTGGCCCCTGCTGAGTAAAAAGCCTCCTTCATGGCCACACCCCCAAACTCACCCAAGATGCTAGGATCTGAGTGCAGCATGAGCGCCCGCCTCTTGGCCTTGCTGCCCTCCCCAGGGCCGAGTTTGGTGCTGTGGTTGGTCTGAAAGGCTGTCTGTAGGGAGCCACTGCTCAGCCATGCCTCCTGTGAGGCTCAGACAGGGAGGGTGGGTCAGCAGGGTGAGGGGCAGCCTCACCCCACCTGCCAAGGGCCCTCGAAGCCTCACCTGCTGCTGCTGCCGCTGCTGGCTGGCTTTCTGTTTGGCCCTCCGCTCCAGGAACTGTTTGGCAAATTCTTTGGCTTCCAGCGTGTCCCCCAAGCAGGAACGGATATAATCGTGGACATCGTAGGGGGATTCCACCTCCTTGAGGATCGCTACAGCCATGGGTACTAAGGGGCAGGAAGGGAGGGGCGCTCAGGGCCCACTTGATGCAGGTCTGGAAGCCCCGGCCCCGCCCGGCCTCCCCGGGTCTGTCGCCTGTACCATCCAGGCTGCCTGTGGTGCTCAGCGTGTGCAGCATCTGCTCACACCACTGGGTGAAGCCGTCCTGGGGCCTGGGGATGCCCTGCAGCAGCTTCAGCAGCTTCTCTTCCTCCTCGGTCTTTTTGCGCACAGGCCGACCGGACAGGTGGCTGTACGAGTCACTGAGTGGGCCGGGCACGAATCAGAGGCAAGAGATCAGCGCAGGCCTGCTACATCCTCCCAAGCCCTGCCCGAGACCGGACGGAGCCTGCAGGCCCCAGCACCCACCTGAGAGAGGGGCTGCTCCGGCTGTTCTTCAGGCCCAGGCCGCGGGCCAGGCTCCCGCCGCTCTTGACGGTGTCCTCCCAGAGCCCCGGGCCGCCGCTGCCGCCCCCACTCTTGTCGGGCCCGCCCCACAGTGGCCCGGCCTCAGATACCCACTGGTTCAGGGGGGCCGAACCCAGGCCCCCAAGCTGGTACAGATGGCAAAAATCAGAGTGGCCCCAATACGGACACACACACACTAGAATAGCTAGGTGGGGAGGCTCACGGAGGTGGCTGAATGGAGCGAGGTGAGGGCCGCCCAGAAGAGAAACGCTTCAGAGTCCGATACAGACCAGCACTCAGGCTGGAAAGTCGGGGCTCAGCAACTCCCCCCCACCCCACGGGTCACCCTGGGAGCTGACTGGAAGGGGTTCCCGAAGGCTCAAAACCTGGCGGTCGGGGGTCGGGGGGTAAGGGCCAGCCTGCTCACCACGCGGTGGTTGGGGGCCTGGGCCCGCGACGGCTCCCGGGACGGGGCCTGCTTGTGCAGCTGCCGCTCACCCTCCAACTGCAGCTCGAGCAGCGTCTTCATGGAGAGCCCCTGCTTGGCCAGGCCGGCCCACAGCGGGGGCGGGGAGCTGGGCGCCGGGGGCGCAGGGGGCGCCGGGACAGCGGCCACCGCCTGCTGCTGCTGCAGCAGCTTCAGCAGGAGCTCCTGCTGCCGCACCTGGGCCGGGGCAGCGTGGTGAGGGCCAGCGGCCTGGGCCCGGGGGCCCCTGGCGGGCGAGGCCGGGAGCAGCCGGGCACACACCTGCTTGCGCCGAAACAGCTCCTCCTCCTCCTGCCTCCGCTTCTGCTCCTCCTGCTGCTGCTGCCGCCGCTTCTCCTCCCGCCGCTTGCGCTCCTCCTCCTCCCGCTTCGCCCTGAGCTCCGCTTCTCTGCGCTCTTGGAACTGGCACAGCCAACGAGCTCAGGCGGCAGACCTGGGCGCCGCCCCCCCGGCCTTCCCTGCCTTGGCCCGGCCCTCGCCGCCCAAGGACCCCAGCCCCAGGAAGCCTACTCACTTTGTGCTGCAGCTGGAGTTGTTCTAGAATTGGACCCTGAGTCGAAGAGTTAATTGGTATGTCCCAAAGACTGGCCTCACCGCCTGCAGAAACAAGGGCAGCAGCAGCAGGCGGCTCAGGCTGGGCTGGAGCGGCCGGAGGGCGGGAGCAGACACAAAGCCCCCCCACTCACCCAGGGACTTGTGGGGGGGGGGGGTGCTCAGAACACAGGGGCAGCGAACAGGCGGGCCACACACCTGACTGTGATGAGGCTGAGGTATGTATGTCCCAGAGGGAGCCCGAATCTGGCACTGACAAGGACCGGTTCATGGTCGGGAGCAGGTTCTGGTCCCCGCCTCTGAGGAGCAGAGCAGGGATTCTCAGAACTCCGAGTTCCTCTTGGGTCTGCCCCCCTCGCCCCCAAAAGACACCAGCCCCTGAACCTGGGCGGTTTGAGAGCTTGGAGCTGCTGCAGGAAGGCGGTGAGCTGCTGCTGCGGCGGGCTCAGGTCCCCCAGAGCCGCCTTTTCCCGGAGCGCGCACTGCGGGAGCTGCCGGCTGTGGGCCCAGACACGGGTGTCAGGGGGGCGGGGGCCCCCAGCCCGCAGCCCGCCTGGCCGCCAAGGCCTTCCAGGCGCCCCGTACCTGCCGACCAGCTGCAGAAACTGCTGGTGCTGCAGCTGCTGGTACAGGGCGGCCGCGGCAAGCTCCTGCTGCTTCTTCAGCCGCTCCTGGTCCATGTTGCCCTGCGCGAGGCCCACGGCGCGCCTGTGGCTCTGCCCTTCAGCGCTGCGCCCCCAGCACGGCTCCAGCCTCCCCTCCCCGCTCCTCGCCAAGGCGGCCGGGCTCACCAGCAGTGGGGGTGGCGAGGGTCCCGGGGCAAAGGGCACACGACCCCACATCTTGATCACCTCACCCAGTGGCTGGAAGCCCTCATCACAGCCCCGCTTCACAAGCAGCGCCATGGAGAAATAGCCCGCCTGGAACCACTCTGCCATCTCCTGTGTCGTGAATGGGCCTGGACCAAGGGAAGGGGGGCCTCGGTCAGAAAGCCGTGCCGGCGAAGCCCTGAAGGAGAATGGTGTTGTCCCCCTGCCCCCAGCAGCCCCGCTGACACGGTCCCCACTGCCCGCGGGCACCTTGGATCTCCCCCTGGGGATCCTTGTAGAACCATTTCCGGGCCGCACCGTGGCTCAGGGGGAGGGCAGTGGCAGCTGCTGAGTGGCGCAGGCCCTGGGCCTGCATGGCGGCCGTGAACTGCTCCTCCTCCAGGGAGCTGTCCTGCAGGGAGGCCACCAGCTTCTCCGCCTCCTGGGAGACCAGGGAGAGAAGGAAGGCTCAACAGCCCAATCACGACAACATCAGGACGGGGCTATAGCTAAGATCGGGATGGGGTCAGGAGGTCGAGTCACAATGCAGAGGGACAGAAGCAACAATGGCTCTCCGTCCCCCGTAGGGCAGGATCCCCCAGAGCCTTCTGAGGTCCCTCACACCTGCTGCAGGTGCTTCAGGCCTTCATCATCCTCCAGATCTCCAGGCGGGCCAGAGGATGAGCCTACTCCAGGACTCAGCGGCATTCCCCTCAGATCGTCTAGAAGCAAAGAAAGCAAGTGGAATGGGGGTCCAGAGAAGAGAATAAGACGCTTCCCTACCCACCCTCGTTCCAGAAAAGTGGACTCTAGTTCTACCTCTTCCCCCCGCCCAAGATGCCTTAGGTACCTCCATCCCACCACAAGAAAGAGGAGTGTCCCCCCCACCCCCACTACCTTCAGCTGCCAGCAGGTCCTTGTCTGCAGCGTCGTCACCTTCCCCATTAGCTCCCCAGAGGGGGCCCAAGGTGGGCAGTGGGGATGGGGAACTGGACTTCTCCTCCTGAGGAGGCAGTGCAGTCAGTTCCTTCCCTCCTGAAAGAGATGGGTAATTACCAGAATTCAAAACAAAGAGCTAGAAGACCTTAAAAATGACTTGACACAAGTCTCCCACTTCTGGCCAGAACCTAGGTCTCTGGACCTTGAATCCACCCACCTAACTTTGCTCAACTCCGCTAACACCCAGCAAATCAGCACCACGAACCCCACCTCGCAACACTGTACACGTTGTGCACGTGTCCACGTGACTGCCCAGGGCTGCACACATACCACCACAGACTTAACACCGTGTTCTTCAGATTCTTTCGAGGACGTGCACAGATCCTCTTGATTATGCCTGAATCTAAACTGACACTCTGCCTTTCAGATGCGGCCCTGCTCCGTTCCTCCCCCACCCGGCAACACCTGCTCTTCGCCCAAGCCCCCTTCTCCTAAAGGCGGGTGGCAGAGCCTGGTGAGGGCCCCTCTGCCCGCCTGGCCTGGCTCAAGGCACTGCCCGCCGCCCCCGCAGGCTCACCTGCCTCAGGCCCCCCCTCGTCTACTAGCCCTTCAGGAGGCTCTTCCTCCTCTTCCTCCAGGCCCTGGAAGTCGAGCTCCTGCTCCTCAGGAATGGGCTCCTTGGGGCCCTTCTGCACAGGGTTAGGGGACACGGTGGGGAGCGAGAGGCAGAGGATGAACAGGTGGGAGCGAGAGGCCCCCACCAGGGTAGGTCCCACCACCCTCCAGTGGAGACCTTCCCTGTGTTTCCTCCGATACCTTGAGAGGCAGGAAGGCCCCAGAGGCATCGAAGGTGCCCATCTCTTCATCCTCGTCATCCAGGCACCACTCCGGGAGCCCATCCTTGTCTTCCTCAAAGCCGTCAGGCCCTCGGCACCTCCGGAGGTGAGAGCTGCCTCCCCCACCCCGCCCTTCCTCTTCACCACACCCTCCTCGATCCCCTCGCAAATCAAATTCAAACTTGCGACGCCGGTCCCCATGTTCCCGCCAGCCAGCAGAGCGGGGACCGCCATCTGGGCAGGAAAAGTCAGAGAAGAAGGTCGGTATCCCAGTCAGGCCAGCCTTCACCTTTCTGCTGCTCACCAGGACCTCCCCTCCACCCCGGGAACAACCGGCATTTCCAGGCCTGCCCTCCCACCCTCTCCACTCCAGAAAGCTTTCTGTTCCCTCCACCCGGCCGCAGGAGCCCACCCTCACACGAAGTTTCTGCCACCCTCTGACCCCACAACACCCATCCGGCCCCAACCTCACCAGGGCTGGCTGAGCGCCAGCGGTCGCCATCTCGCCGGGGTCCTGCCCCAAGTCTCCAGCTGCCCTCCTCCTCTTCCTCTTGCTCCTCTCGAAGAGAACGCCAGTTCTCGCTATCTGAGCGGGCATGTTCCTTCCTCGGGCCAGCCCCTCCCTCCTCAAACCCGGATCGTGCTTGGGGGTGGGGGAAGACACAGTCAGCGGAACAGCAGCCATGGTCCCTGGAAGACTCTTACTATAGACCTTGCAGTAAAAAGGAGCCCAGCTCCAGGCCCTCCCGTCCCCACCAGCTCCCTCAGGAACACACTCCCCTAATGGCACCACCCATTTCAGTCCTCCCCCCACCTCTCAACGACCTTCGGGACCTGGCCACCGCCACTCTCCATACCTCCATCCCTCCTGGCCGACTTCTCAAACCTTCTCTCGCCTCTGCAGAAGGAAAAGGTGTTGGGTCAAAGGAGGATGGATTCCACCCCGCCCTCCAACTTGCGGCATCCCTGCACACCCTGTCCGTTCTGCCCTGAGAGGGGTGGGAAGAGGGAAGGCACAGGGGCGGGGTACTAGGGAGGGAGCCCAGAGAGGCACGCAGAAAAGGTCGCAGGATAAATGAGTACTAAGAGAATCAGAAGGAAAAGGAAGAGGGCCACAGGGAGTCAGTCAGAGGCAAGGAGAAAGATCTGTGGCCAGGGCTTATTTGGTGGGTCTCCTGTTGCCCTCTACGGACAAAGACCCGAGCCGCCGTGCAGGGACGGCGCCGCAGGGCTTCCCTCCGCTCTGCCACTGTGCTGCCCGCACCTGTCATCCCAACTCTGGCTACGCTGGATCTCCCGGGGGTTTCGGCCAAAGGCCCCATCGCCTTCCTCAATGCTTCTTTGGTAAAAGCAACTGTCACCACGGCCTCGGCCTGGATAAAGGATGAAATACGTGTGGGAAACCTACCTATCTCTCTGCACCCTCAAAACCACAGCCCGCCCCCCCCCACCCCCAGAACACACTGTCACCCCCTCTACCTCGGCTCCGAGTGCTGCCCCTGCCACGGGAGGTGCCACCTAGGGGGGGGCCAGCCCCTTTCCCCATCAGCCTCAGCACAGCCACACTGTTCACTGACAGGGAGAAGTTTCTCTGAGGAGGGAGCCAGGGGTGGCAGTGAGGACCCAGGCACCTGCCCCCCCCCCACCCCTGCCCAGAACCACAACCTCCACCCCCTATCTTCCCAGCTTCAGACGCTCTCTGCAAGGGGAAGACCCAGCGCCCTGCCCGGCCCCGCCCTGGCCCAGCCCCACCTGCTCCTCCTCAGTCAGAGGCTCCAGCGCCAGGGGCTGCAGGGGCTCCTCCTGCAGGAGCATGGCAAACTCCTTGTCCTGCAGCTCAGCCGGCACCTGTCGGTCGGGGCGGGAGAGCCGGGATCCCACCTGCTCCGGGACGCTCTCCACTGGCTCAGACCAAGCAGGCAACAGGGCCACACACCCCACACCCGCCTGCCCCCACCTTGTTCTCCTTGACGTAGAGAGCCAGCATTTCTTCTCGCCCGTAGCGATAGTCAGCCAGCTTGTATTTGGGCATGGCAGGGGATGGGGGTGGGGAGGCCACGCTGCCGCCACTGGAAAGGGCCCTCAGCCTAGGAAGGGATACAGGGAAGGAAAGAGACAAGAGTCTGAGCAACCCTATTCTTCCTGGCTTCTCCAGGCCCATCCAGAGCATGTCTAACTCACCACTCAGGCCCAAAATTGAGGGTCTCCGCCGCCATGATGGGGCTGGGCGTGTCCTCGAGGTCAGAGGGGCTGAAGGGAAGAGGGGGGGACCTGGCGTTCACTCTCCAAACACCTGTGGAGGCACCGGGACGCTAGGCCTCGGAGACAGCACACCCGGAGAACCACAAGGGAATAAGGTATAGATTCCCACCTAAGGAACTCTGAAAGGGCTCACCTAAGCCAGCCACGTGCCACCCAGCATGAGTGAGGCCAACTGTCACGATGAGGGAAGACCTGGGGGAGGGGAGGAAACAGGGCAGCTAGAGCCCCTTCCAGTTTCAGCAGGGGTTGCCTCCCTCCACCCCAGACTCACTTGGCAGCCTTGCCCCCAGGAAGCAAGTAGGGCCGGGACTGGGCTCTCTTCAGGCAGGGGCCTATGCTGGAATGAACCAAGGTCCCCAAGCTACAGGACGATGATCTGACTGCAGTGGCGCCCGAGGAGGAAGCTTCACATCCAAGAAAGATCCTTACCAAGAGGTGAGGAAACAAAGCTGGGGTTAAACCAATGGGCCAGATGGGCCTCCCCACTTCTGGGCCTCCTCTGTCCTGCATAATGGGGAAATCTACAGATGCTGGACGCTTCCAGTTATCCAGGGCAGAGGATCCCACCCTCTGCTCCTCCTCATCTCTGTCCCCCACGTTAGGCCTCAGAGTACTTAATTCCCTCAGCAGAGCTGAGCGAGGCACTGGTCTCAGCCCCCTCGCAGTGTGGTGCGGCACTCGGTAAAGGGCTGGCTGAGGTATGTGGGCATGCTCAACGCAAAGATAAAACACAAGCAAGCAAACAAACAAAAAACCCATCAGAGCCACAGATATTCTAAAGACAAAAAAACATCAGTTCTGAAAAAAAAAAATTACACACTAAGTCTGCGAGGAACCCTTCTGGAAAAAACTCAAGGCTGCCTGTTTGGTGGTAGAATCTAGGGATTCAACTGGGGGGAGGGGGCCAGAAAAAGGGGAGTGGTGGTGGGGAGGCCCTAAGGACCAAAGGCAGGGCACACGGAAGGCTACGGGCAGGTAAGTCTGCCAGTGCCCTCCTTGGGCTGGTTTACCCACCAGGAATCAACACCCAGACCCTTCCCATGGATCAGGAAGAGCCCACCGTAACTACTAAGAACCAAGAAGAGAACGTCATTACGCTACAGACTAGGACGGCGCTCCCCTCACCATAAAGCAGAAAGGAGGCCGACAGAAGTAGGGGCAGTGGCAGTGATCTATCCCTCTAAGGAACAGCAGAGGAGGCTCTCAGGAGGCGGCTCATCCCTGGCGGTTCCGAGCGAGCACAGGTGGGCAAGGTCTCGGGGAGCTGCACGGGGGCTTCCCTCACTGGCTGGAGGGGAGGCTGGACCCGAGTGCCTCCACAGTTTCCATCAAGTCCAAGACTCCACAACTCTGGCAAGAAAGGAGGAAGGGTTTCCAGCAGAGCGGCCAAGGGAGAGCAGCTCTCACGTACATGTGCACATGGGAAGATGAAGCAAAATGCTCTGACAGAGGCGGGACCCAGTCCCAGAATCCCAGCATCCTAGCCGGGAATGCAGCTTTGGAGAGCATCTCGAGCGGGGTGGACCTCCCCCGACACGGGCCTCTCTTCTACAAGAGCCCCCACTGGCCGCTGCTGGTGACGGAGCACGCCACGGCACACACGGCCGTCAGGAGACAAGTCTGTTGAAAAGCTCTCCCTTTCACTGGATTCGAGCAGGCCTCCCAGGACCCACGCTACCATCCCTACTTAACTTGACCAGTGAATCAGCCTTGAAGACGTTCCACAAAATGGAAACCACTCAGTCACAAAAGGACAAATACCCTAGGATTCCTCTTATGTGAGATTCCTAAAAATCAAATTTAGAAACATGGAGAGTAGAACAACGGGCCAGGGTTGGGGGGTGAGGAGAGCGGGGAGCTGTTCAATGGTACTGAGTTTCAGCCCGAATGAGGCAAATGAGGCAGCTCTGGAGATGGATGGTGGTGACAGTTGCACAACATGAACATACTTAACCTCACAGAGCCGGACACTCAAAAACTCAGTTAAAT